ATAGCATAAGCAAAGGGTGATCAAAAAGGCTTTTAATTTTAGTATCGTTATGAACATATGGCTTTAAACATATTTCATGTGTTTTGCTCCATTGCATGCCAACTTTAACGAGTTTGGGAGGAGTCCTTGTTGTACAAGCCTAGTAGTCTGTGCATCTTCCTTAAATTTATGATATGACAAGATAGTTTAGGCTCATCTTATACCTTTCCTGCCCTAGACCTGGACTTAGCCATTTCACCAAGGAGTCCTGTTACTTTAGTGAAAATGCCACTTAACGACCAGGATTTGGTTACTGGGTATGTACATTACTATTGTGTCAGCCTTTGTTTCCAGTCCAGGAAGTTTGTATCTTTTTAAATACAAACTGTATCGTGAGTTCATACTGATACTTCTGATTCTTATTCAGGATGACAGGGTTTTTGTTTAACCTCCTTGATCATGAATTTGTATTTCCTTGCAAACACTGAGGAATATTTTGGACTTAGAGGTCAGTTTGGCTCCATTACAAGATCTTTGGCTGAAATCCTCTTTCCTTGTCTTTCTAAAATATGAAATACTATTGCTTTTTTGGCATAAAGTGATGCTTTCAGAAAGTGTGGTGAAAATCTGATTTTCTTTCCCTAGTTAGTGACTGGGTCTGTTTGTCTGAAAGGATTTTGTTTGTTTTGCTTTCCTTTTTTCTTTAAAGACTAGTTGTTTTACTAGACCGTATCTTATTGTTGGTTGTTCTGAGTCAATTTTCCAAGGTATGAACCTTTAAAAAAAACTTTTTGTAGCCAGGCACAGTGGCTCACGCCTGTAATCCTAGCACCTGGGAGGCAGGAGGATTGGTTGAGGTCAGGAATTCGAGACCATCCTGAGCTAGAGCAAGACCCTGTCTCTACTAAAAATAGAAACATTAGCCAGGAGTTGTGGCGTACGTCTGTAGTCCCAGCTACTCAGGAGGCAGGCTCAGGAGGATTGCCTGAACCCAGGAGTTTGAGGTTGCAGTGAGCTGTCATGAGGCCACTACACTCTAGCCAAGGCAACAGAACAAGATTCTGTCTCAAAATAAAAAAACAAAAAAAAGAAAAGCTTTTCGTATCACATTGGGGATTAAAATCTTTTTAAAAAGAAAAAAACCAATAAAATACTTTTTTGGTATATCCAAAATAAAAGCTGCTTTATTAAGATATAATTAAATATCATAAAATTCACTCTTCTAAAGTGTACTATCAGGTGTTTTAGGGTAATCATGGAGTTGTGCATCCATCACCATTATACAATTTCAGAGCATTTTTATTACCCCAAAAAGAAACCTTGTACTCATTAGCAGTTACTCCACATTCCCCCATTTCTCAGACTATGGCAACCACTAATCTGATTTCTTTCTCTGGATTTGTGTATTCTGAACATTTTATATGAATGGAATCAGGCAATATGTGGCCTTCTGTAACTGGCTTTTTCACTTAGCCTAATGTTTTAAAGGTTCATCATTTTGGAGCATATATCAGTATTTTTTTCCATTTTATGGCTGAATAATTTTCACATTCGTCTATCCATTCATCAGCTGATGGACATTTGGGTTGTTTCCACTTTTTGACTATTATGATTAATGCTATTTATGAACATTGATATACAAGTTTTTGTATGGACATATATTTTCTTTTTTTTTAAGACATGGTTTCTCTCTGTCACCCAGACTGGAGTGCAGTGATGTCATCATATCTCACTGCAGTCTCCATCTCCTGGGCTCAAGAAATCCTCCTACCTCAGCCTCCTGAGTAGCTGGGACTACAGGTGCACACCACCACACCTGACTAATTTTTTTTGTTTTCGTAGAGACAAAGGCTCACTATTGCCCAGGCTGGTCCCAAATTCCTGGGTTCAAGTGATCCTCCTGCCTCAGCCTCCCAAAGTGCTAGGATTATAGGCACGAGCCACCGCAGCTGGCCTACTTTCAATTTTCTTGGGTATATATCTGGAAGTAGAATTGTTGGGTCATGTGGTAACTCTATATTTAATTTTTTAAGGAACTGTCAAACTGATTTCCAAAGTAGCTATACCATTTTATAATCCAACCAGCAATATATAGAGTACTAATTCTCCACATCCTTGCCAATACTTGTTGTTGTCTATCTCTTTTATTTTAGTCATCCTAGTAGATGTGAAGTGATAGTTCATTGTGGTTTTGGTTTGTATTTCCCTGATGACTAATGATATTGGGCATGTTTTCATGTGCTTATGTCATTTGTGTATCTTTTTTGGAGAAATATCTATCCACATATTTTGCTCATTTTTAAATAGGGGTATTTGTCTTTTTGTTGTTTAGTTATGAGAATTATTTATATATTCTAATACAAGTTCTTTGTCAGATATATGATTTGCAAATATTTTCTCCTGTGAGTTATCTTTTTGCTCTCTTAATGGTGTCTTTTGAAGCACAAAAGTATTTTATTTTAAAGAAATCCAATTTATGTATGTTTTCGTTTGTCACTTGTGTTTTTGGTATCAAATCTAAGAAACCATTTTTTAATCCAAGGACACAAAGATTTACTCTTATGTTTTTTCCCCCAAGAGTTTTATAGTTTTAGCTCTTACAGTTAGGTTTATGATCCGTTTTGAGTTAATTTTTGCATATGGTATGGGGTAGGGGGTCTGTATTAGTTTCCTAGGATTGCTGTAACACATTACCACAACTTAAAACAATAGAAATTTATTCTCTCACAGTTCTGGAAACCTGAAGCCCAAGTTAAGGTGTTGGCAGGGCTGATTCCTTCTGGAGTCTTTGAGGGAGAATCCATTCCATGACTTTCTCCTATCTTCTGGTGGTGGTTGACAATCCTTGGCATTCCTGGACTTGTAGACATGTCACCCCAATTTCTGCCTCCTTCTTCACATAGCCTTTTCTCTCTGTATGTCTCTACACATTTTTTCCTTTTTAGTCTCTTATAAGGACACCATCATTGGATTTAGGGCCCACCCTAATCCAAGGTGATCTCTTCTCAAGATTCTTAACATAATTACATCTGCAAAGACCCTTATTTCAAATGAGACCCCATCCTGAGGTTCTGGGTGAATATATATCTTTTGGGGACCACAATTCAACCCACTACAGGGTCCAACTTCATTCTTAGTACCTTTGTTGAAAATCAATCAACCATTGATGTATGAGTTTATTTCTGGACTCTCAATCTGTTCCATTGACCTCTCTCTGTCCTATGTCAGTACTACACTGTCTTGATTATGCATGTGTCCATTAACATGTAGTTAAAGTCATCTTGACTTACAGTGTTTAGCACAGTATTAGTTTGATTTTTTTCTTTGAACTATTTGGTATGTTGAATCTTTCATATTTATCACTTTTTATCTAGAATTCCTTTTCAATCTCATTTCTTTTTGATTTTTGAAAATATCCTCTTTTCTATCTTCTTTTTCACTTAAGGCATTATGTATTATATTCATTTGCTTTTGGGTCTTACCAGTTTAGTTTTTATTTTATTTCTGAATTTTTAAAAAATTTTTTCTTTCCTGGATTCTGTCATTTCTTTGTGTAATTTTTCTTTTTCTAAGTCACCTAATTTCTCAGTCTTTCTAATTCTGATTTATGTTTTCATAGCTTTTTAACATTTTCTTAATTTTTCTTAGCTTATTTAAAATCTTATCTTGTTGGCATTTCTTTTTCAACTACTGGCTTTTTCTCCCCCAGCATGGGATTTGTCCTGGCAGCTTTAGCTTGTCAGTTGCAAGAGTTTATACAAACCAGCTCCCCAGAGCATTCCAGCAGTTCCAGACTTTACCCAAGGATTTTCAAAAATATAGGTTGATAAGAACCCTTAATTTTGAAACATTAGAGCTTTGAAAAGGCAAGTGAAATGAAACAGTCCTATCAATCAGACAGTGTTATGTACAGTCAGACGTTGCTGCCCTGTGGCCGCAGCCAAATGACTGCTCCTCTTTCAGAGTTCCAAATCTGCCCATATAAGAGCCTTATGGACATCAAATGAAAGAGTTATAATACTGGCTGCTTTGGTAAATATAAATTTCTTAGACTATTATATTATAATTTAAAGCTGCCAGAAAATATAATATTTAATGTGATATGATCTAAGACTATAGTTTTATTTAAAGGCAAAGCCTTATTTTTGTATGGCACAATTCAAAATTAACTTTAAAAGCAATCACTTTAGGCTATCTGTTAATTTATAAGCCCTGACATCCATGTCTAAAGTATTCTGGTACTAAAATTTTTCTATTTAGCAAATATCATTTTTATTTTGTAGAAAGCACTTTCACATGTATCTCACAGATATTTACAGTAATCTTTTCTCCCCCAGTTTTCAGTTGAGGAAACTAACACTGAAGGGGCAAAGTGGCCTCCCAGGCTCACCGTGGGTTCTAAATCCAGGCCCAGTGTTCTCTGCATAGTGTCTCACTGCAGCGTGGATGCCAAAGCATCTTTGCTGCATGCACACTGCCCACCCACCCCAGCACTCAGTGATGAGGATGCCACACGTGCTCAGGCAGCTCCTACCCTTCTTCCTTTAACCAGGGAGGCCTGGGCTACTGATACCACGATGCAGGGCCAGGGAAGACAGCCTGGCTAGAGGCTGGGTTGGGGGACTCAGCAGACAGGAATCCCAAGGGAAAGGAGCAGGGACAGGGAGAGGAAAGTGGGGCCTAGGGCGCTGACTTTGATAGCTTTTAATGTGTTTTTGGGAGATCCAAATTCCACGTGAGCTTGGAGTCCCACTCCTTTTTGGCTGTGTGAGATTTGCTTCTTTAACGTGGTGCCCTTGGAGATGAACCATGTGGGACCTGGGTTCACTGAGGCCAGTTCATCAGAGGTTTAAAATTCTCGAGAATGATGGAGAGTCACTTTGGCCTGGCTCTGTAATCTGAGGGGATGGTAATATTATTATTATGCATTTGAACCGTAAGAACTTTGTCAAAGCAGGAAAAATGACAATTATTGTTCTTTTTTGGTGGGGGGGATGACTAAATGAACCTTTTCTCTTCAGTTGCTGATTTTGTAGGGCTAGATCCCAGAATTGCAGCTTGGCTTATAGATCCTAGTGATGCCACACCCTCTTTTGAAGATTTAGTGGCAAAATACTTTGAGAAATCTATTACAGTTAAAGTGGGAAGCACATATGGAAATTCCTCAAGAAACATAGTGGTGAGTTGTTTTAAGATAAGGTTTTATCAACCTTAATACAATCCTAATGTTTTTCTAGAAACTCTTTCTACTTTATAGGTAGTCTAATAGTAAAAAGAACACTTCCAACATTCATTTTCACTTATTCAACACAAATATTCTTGATCCTGGCGTTTCTGGTGGAAGATGTTGAGCAAGAATGAATAATTTCCATTCTTCCGTGAAACTTATTCCTGGGAAATCCCATTCACAGTGTGATTCTTTAAATAGACTTTCTGGGGCCAAAGTTGCCTGCTCCCTGAGCAGAGAGTTGCTCATTCACAAATCCTTGGTCCTAATGATGTGGCCACCATGCCGAGGTCCCAGGACAGCCACTGCTCAGTCTATGTGGGGAGAACTAGGGACTGTTCCGATGCATCTCTCCAGGGCTTCCCCTGCTGGAGTGGCCCCTGATTGTCAGGAAGCACTGTCTGAACTGTGCATGGAGCCCAGAGAGAGGCCACAGCAGGCCCCGGAGGAGAGGGCTCTTTTGGAAGTGGCGTGGCCACAGTCTTTTCAGGCTTCTTAGTTTTCAGGAAACAGCTAAGTGGTAAAAGAACTGCTGGAAGAATATGCAGAGTGCTGGGCGAGCTCAAGGACTCAGAGCACAGCAGGAGGTGATGTGAGCCTGTGCTGTGTGCCAGGTATTGAACTGGGGGCATTTGCTTCATGCACTTCCTTCACAGACCATCTGGGAGGTGAAGGTCTGTGCCAATAGGGATTGTAAATAACAGAAATGCACTCTCCCTTAATTTAAAAAGAGATTTATCGAAAGGATATGGGGTAGCTCACAGAATCAAAGGAAAAGCAGAACTAGGGCTTGGGAAGAACAGAAGCCAGGTGGCCCTGGGATCCAGGGAACCGGAACGGCTAGGCATGGTGCCAACACTAAGCCATCACCTTTTCTCTCCCTGGGTCACTTTTGTCCAAGATTCAGAGTTTTGGTACTTGGAAAATGTTTCCTCTTCCTCCCTGTGCCACATGTTTACCCCCCACCAGGGGAGGGCAGGGCATCTTAGTTAGTATTCCTCCCCAGATTGCATGCTGTCAGGCAGGGGGACTTCTCCAAACAGAAGTTGAGGTATTATATTATTGGAAGAAGGAGTTGTTCATCACAGTGTTATCAGTCTCAGTTTACAGATGAGAAAATTGAGGTGCAGAAAGGTTAACTACATGCACCTTGCCCTACATGCACCATGCAACCTGCCCAGGCCAGGTTAAAGCCAGGGTTCAACTCATCCACACTCTAGGCAGAGAAGAGGCAGCCTCAGATACAATTCCATTTATACCTTATTGGCCAGACATGTGTTTGTAGTACAGCCATGCAGTGCATGAGGGCAGGGAATGGAAGGCTGGCCATTAATCTACACCCTGCTGCTCTGAAAAGGTGGTATGAATTGTTCAGGAAAAAGGAAGAGTTCCAGGCAGAGGGAGTGGCGTGAGAATGGTAAGGACTCACAGAGAGTGAGGCTCCTTTGGGGAGACAGCAAGACCAGCATGGGGAGAGGGAGAGGTGGCTGTGGGAGCCGGAGGAGACATGCAGAGCCTTGTCACATAGGAGCTGGGCCAAGGGGTTGGGCCTGTGCTGGGACCATTCAAAGTGGGAGTCACATGGTCAGCCTCGGAGTTTGTGGGCAGCCATGTGGAATTCTGCCTGGTGGCAGCAGGGAACTTTCCGTGGAGCTGCTCCTCTGCTGGGTGTTCCCGACCAGTCTTTCACAGGAAAGCCACAGTTAAGAAGTGACTAGGAAATAATGCCAGGTTGTGTGCAGCCGGCCACTGATCCACTGGGGGCTCACTCTAATCTGAAGCCTTTAGTAGAAAACTGAGTCTGAGTGGCCTAGAGTTAGGGGTGTCATTTGGTAGAGTAGAGTGTTGAACAGGAGATCCTAGGGCTCCATGTCAGGGGAAGAATTAGACTGCCTGTGGAAGGGCTGCATCGCATCCCATCTCCCCTCTTTGTCATTTGAGCACAGACTCTTGTTTGTCAATCTCCCAAGGACTCTGTGTGTGTCTGTCCTAATGTGAGAACAGACAGTAGGTGTGGAATGGGGCAGCAACCCTGTGTGGGTGCAGGATGATGGAGCAGAGAGAATGGGGCTGTGGGACCTAGAGGGGCCAGGCCTATGTTCTCCACCCCTACCACCATCTAATCATCGCACCTTGGACATTAGGTCTCTTTGGGGTTCTATTTCTCAATCTGTAAAATGAGGAAAAACTCTAGGTTGGGAGAATGTGTCCAGCTATGGAGAGCTCACACTTGCACAGTAGAGGTACTTTCCATAGATTGGAACTCATCTTCTTGAGGTGACTGGTGATACCACCACATATGTACTATCTGCCAGTGAAAGCTTCATGGGATTTCACTGGGAAACATTTTATGAGTCATGTCAGTTCCCAGATGGTGATAAGTACTGCCACCAAGTTTATCTAATTTTTAATACTTTTGTTCTTTAAAGCATCAGAATGTACTTGTGAACCTGAGGATACTCTACAGACTTACGATGGACCTTTGCTCTAAATTGAAGGCAAGACATTTTACTATTAATTTCTGGCTGATAGGAGCTCTTGCTTGCTGTTTGTACAAGGGCTCTCTTTTCATTTGCACCCATCCTCACAGGGGAAGGAAACAAAACATTGAGTTCTAAGACCAAAATAACCTGCGTATCATTTAGAGAAGGGTAGTCTAGAATGATAAGACCTGAAATTTTAAAAATAGGTTGAAAACAATTGTAACATTTTTAAAAGCCTCCTCTTTAACCAGGGTATTTCCAGTGCTGTAGTTACCATAAAAGCTGAGAGTTTATTTTGGTTAATAGTGGGATGGACACAGCTTCACTCAAACAGAATCTTACTGGGAAGCAGACAGCCATTGGAACCAAGAAATGAGAAGAGCTGAATGAAGGGACTGTGTCCAGAGGTGAGAGCAGGGTGAAGGAAACCACAAAGTGGAGCAGCCTCCAGGGACAGGCAATAGCCAGATGCTTCTCCACCCTTGGGCTCCAAGGGCCAGCTGGAGCCAACCTCTCTCTCTCACCCCATCCTCAGTCTCCTGCTGGTACCCAAATGGATGAAATCAGTCTGAGGGCAGAGAAGGAGCCCAGGTGATATGGCCAGGAAAGGTCAGCCCTGTCACAAGGGCAAGGACAGGGCAGAGGAGGGTCTGGAGAGGCAGGAAGAAACATGAGAGTGGGAGTCGGAAGATGAGGCCCAGGATTCTTTCAATGGCAGCAAGAAAGAATAAAAATGCTGAAACTCTAATAAAGAGCATGGAAGGTGGTCCGGATAAACAGAAAGAGATTTCGTCCTCTTAGAGGAGGTGACCTGTTGTAACGATTCCAGTGCTCCCCAAATTAATCCATAGTGTCGGTGAAAAATCAACAAGAATTCTAAGTAACTCTTTGGGAATTCAGGAAGCCTATTCTGAAATTAAAATAATTCTGGAAGACTAAAAGTCCACACATACTTAAATCAATCTTTAAAATGAGAAAGAGGCTGGGTGTGGTGGCTCATGCCTACATTTTGGGAGGCTGAGGTGGGAGAATTGCTTGAGCCCAGGAGTTTGAGACCAGCCTGGGCAATATAGTGTGACCCCTCTCCCCCATCAAAAAAAAAAAAATTAGCCGAGCACGGTGGTATATACCTGTAGTCCCAGCTACTTGGGAGGCTGAGGCAGAAGGATTGCTTGAGCCCAGGAGTTTGAGACCAGCCTGGGCAATATAGTGTGACCCCTCTCCCCCATCAAAAAAAAAAAAATTAGCCGAGCACGGTGGTATATACCTGTAGTCCCAGCTACTTGGGAGGCTGAGGCAGAAGGATTGCTTGAGCCCAGGAGTTCCAGCCTGCAATGAGCTGTGATTGCACTACTGCGCTCCAGCCTGGGCTACAGAGTGAGATCTCTAAAAAAGAGAGAGAGAGAAAGAGTAAAGAAAATAGGAATGGGCCTTGGCCTATCTAAATAGCTCTACTGGGTCTTGGTAATAAAATAGGCTACTTACAGGAAATAGGAGTTTTATTAGGAAGAACAAGAGAGAGAAGTGGAGGTTGGGTAGGAAACCAATCGTGATAGGAGCTGCCTCAATTGTAGCTCAACAAAATTAAGTAGGCTTTTCAATAAAATGCAGATACAAATCATAATTTAAAGTAACATTGATATAATTTCTTCCTATGAAATAGGTTTATGGTTTATGGCAACTATTTTGTACTTTGGAGCTTCCTCTGATACCAATTTTGGCAGGTAAGTTACCATAAAGAATAAGTACAGTCATTTTCCTAGAGAATTTTTTTTTTTTTTTTTTTTTTTTTTTGAGACAGAGTCTCGCTTTGTTGCCCGGGCTAGAGTGAGTGCCGTGGCGTCAGCCTAGCTCACAGCAACCTCAAACTCCTGGGCTCAAGCAATCCTTCTGCCTCAGCCTCCCGAGTAGCTGGGACTACAGGCATGCGCCACCATGCCCGGCTAATTTTTTTTCTATATATTTTTAGCTGTCCAATTAATTTCCTTCTATTTTTGGTAGAGATGGGGTCTTGCTCTTGCTCAGGCTGGTCTCGAACTCCTGAGCTCAAACAATCCGCCCTCCTCGGCTTCCCAGAGTGCTAGGATTACAGGCGTGAGCCACCGCGCCCGGCCTCCTAGAGAATTCTTTACACTGGGATGAATGTTTAACTTACTTTGAAGTAGATAGTATTGCACTGAAGTGGTAACAAGCCCATTGTTTTCTCTTTCTGTAACAAGAGAGGTTGGACTGCATCACCTCTTGGTCTGGAAGGACTAGAAGGTTCTGACATCCCTTCTGTACTGTCTATCCAGGAGGAACAGGCATCTCTGGATGTTTTATACTTTAGTAGTTGTCTCTATTCCTGGTTTGCTGTCCTTGTAACCCTCCCCCTTCACCTGATGGAGTTTTGAGAACCTCCCTGTAAGAACCATTGCAGGGCTCTCTTCTGCCTTTGCCTCTGTCTCAGGTCCTGCTGGGTGCTGCACTGGCCAGGGAATGACTCTTCATTCACAGTGTGGGAAGGGCCAGGCCATAGCTGGCCAGCACAGTCCCCATGCCCACTCCCACCTCAAAAGCCAGCTCTGTCAATGCACCTGCTTCCCTGTAACACAGAGATCCTGACCAATCCCGTGAGGAGGTTGGCATGCAGCAGGTGCTGAGTAAATGGCAGTCACTGTCATTATTGCCCTCTTTAGAGAGTGAGGCCCCTGAGTCTTTACTGAAAAGGATTCATTAATGCAGTGCAAATAGGATCTGATTTGATTTTTGAATCTCAGTGATGGAGAGCCACAGCATTCAGGTGAATAAAGAAGCAATGGAGAGGACGTCAGCACTTCTTGGGGTAAGTTACCATTTCTGATTGTTTGTTCTTGTTGTCCTTCATGACAGATTGTTCTCAGTGGCAGCTCTAGAGTAGATTCTGGTTTTCTTCCCCTCCTCATTTGAAGTTGACATTGTTTTTCCTTCTCTCTGACTCCTGCAGGGGAGGACCAAGCATTGAAAAGATTTAAACGGCACTGAATCTAGTGCATATGTGTCAGGGGAGTTCTTTAATGGATCTTCAGGGTCCTTCTCAAAAGTCAGCTTTTTCGTACAGGAACATTGCCCCCTGTGGTTTGGTGAAGGAATTCTCAGGTTTCTTGAAAAATAAATATACAGGGATGCATAGAGATGCATGAAAAAATACACAGAAGTATTCCACTTAAATTTTCTTAAAGGAAACTTTGGTGTAACCATTACCACGTCCAGCCTGCAGCCCAGCTGGATGCTGGTTCTTTTTT